TAGTGAGAAAACCGGGGAGAGATATTCGTAGAGTCATTGGTTGGTAAAGTTCGACGGGAAATCAATACGACAAATTAGCAATTCGTACCATTGGTGTTGATATTGTTGGCCACATAAAAGCTATCAAGCAATTCCAGTTCACAGGTCCAGGCCGACAGCGGTGTTGATATTGTTGGACGCATCAAAGTTATCAGCAATTCCAGTTCGACAGGGGTGTTACCCCTGGGACTGCATAAAAAAAAAAAATCTGTTGAGTACTATTTATCACTATTATTATATTACGCTATAGATTGAGTTATATTGTATATCTAACTATTTAACGGGGATTATTTCCACACGTACATATATTACATATTGAGTTTACATTATATATCTAGTATTTAATTGGCGTATTGCCCATATATTGTATCTAATTTATTCTTGTTATCAATCTTAAATAATCATGGCTTCATCAACCCCACACCGTGTGGTAGATTACCTTGACGACGACTTTGAAAGACGATCCCCACCAATTAGCATTCCCTACGATGTATGGAACAAATTGTGTCGCTTCTCACTCGTTTTAAAATGCCTGTTTTCATATGTTTATAACATTGGGGATCCGCGGAATTCAAATATTAAAAGATCAGGCGGAATTATTAAACGTGCAGGAAGAAAATTAAGGAGAGGCGTCTTTTCTTGGCAGCCAGCCATTCTTTTTACACCCAGCCCCCCTGATTTGTCTGACAGAATAAGGAGGGCCCTAATTGTAGCCGCGAGACCGTCACGCCTAGCCGCGAGAGACCCGTCCCACCCAGAAAATATAGATCAGGCTTTGGATATCGGGGCGGCGGTACTCCTGATGTATGGCCTGTACTTTGATTTTCCCCTCCTCGTGGGTCTAGGCGTTAAAGCGGCGTTTAGGGACAGGGACGTGACCATTCTATTCCAATTGACTCAACTCCATACTGACATGGGTACGGAACTACGAGGTTACGCGGAAATCCTTTGGCAACTGCTACCCATTCCGAGAACAAGGGTTTGGGAAGCCCTCTCTAATCCAACATCGGATGAGGTGGCAACAGGGGTCAGTCGAGCGGCGTCCCGCTTCCATCAAAGTAGGATGGGATTTTCCCTCAATAAGGAGGCACTGAGGTTTTGCGCCCTGTGTACTCAGGAAATATTCCCGATCCGAGACACCCGTAGAAAATTTCTGCCGCTAACATTCTGCAAATGGTGTCGACGTGTTCAACACACAGGGTGTGCGGCCACACTTTGAAAGTAGCAGGTTCCGATTTCCGCCAGGTGACACGAAATGACATGGCACCAGGGGAGCAAACATGCATATGCCTGGTTGTACCCCAAGGCAACGGCATGGACGGGTTGGAGGCCTTTTTGGCTGGGGTTCCCCCACTCCCACGTCTCCCAAGTTGGTTGAATGTCAACCAGTGCCCGGATTGCAAGGTTCCCTATGAGAGCCCGTTCATCGGAGTGTCGGACGGCATGTCGTCCACCCTCCGCCAGCATCCGGTGTTGTTCCCACCCAGCAGCTTTTTAGACCGATATGACGTCATGACGTTGACAAATTACTACCGCCCCAGAAGAGTTAAAGTAGTCCCGGAGGAATCAATGGTCTGTTTTTATTTAGGAACAGAGTCAGCATTGCCTGACCTTCCTGAACGCCTCGTCTCCAGTATTAAGAGACGGATGGCCCCTTACCCGGTAGAACAACTGGTCATGAAATTAAAGTTGTTCTACCCCCCTCAAAGCCAGGGCCACTGGGATGGTTGTACCTGGAGGTCCTCGCAGGTAGACCCTGAGTGGAAACTTTGACACCCAGGGGCCAGTCAATCGGGGATGCTGGGTCAATAAACAAACAAACAAAAACCCTACCCAACCGCGTCGTCAAGGGAAGCCAAAATTATATCTCTATAATATTATTATTGACATATTAGCCATTTTACATGTATTCCGTCCGGTTCATATATATTGTTCTTGTTAGACATAGAAAAATTGTACTTAAACCATATTGATAATAATAATTTGTGCTTGATGTTGTAACTTATGTCTGTATTTGTATGGTTGCGGTTAATCAACCCCATGGTCACAACAAGAACAAGGTAAAATACGTAATTAAAGGAAATCAAAAACAAATAGCTTGGGTCTCGACGTCACAGTCCTATAGAGTGTGGGGACACACTCTTCGTTGGAAGGGGGGTCGTATTATAGGCATGAGATTATGGTCCTTATTACAATAAGAGATATACAATTAACATTATTAATGACAGGGGATTAAGGGGGCAGAAGATACAAATTGTGAGAGTTTTAATAAAATATTTAAGATATGAAGTGATTGGTAACGTTGTAAGGTGGGAGGTTAAGGTAGAAAGTCAGTAACGTAGGTAATGAACATGAAAGTAGGTCGCTGGAGCTGGTGAGTGCAGGATGAAGTGAGTCATAGCTTAGATAGAGGAAAACTACTATACTATCAAGATGGAGCGACGTGGCGGGGACCTGGCCGGGGACCTGGCCACCAGTTCCTGGTATTCTACGAGCCCTATATGGTTAGGGGAGAGAGACTTTGAGATTCTTGGAATCCACCTCACGGTCGTACAAATATGGTAGTGGGGGTACGATATAGAGGTGGGGGAGAGAGTAATAGATAGTCAAATTATGGGTTATTGACCAATAGAAAAAATGAAAAAGGGTGTTGGCTGTGACGTAGGAACCCAGGTTTAAGCGGGAGCAAAGCTCAGAAACGGGAGTCTGGTGCGGGCCTGCTCTTGCTGTTGGTCACTAGGAACCGTCTGAGAAATTATCTTGAAGCACCAGCATTTTGGCTTAAGACTGAAGCTTTGCGGCTGAAGTCTTATAGAGTGACCATAGAGTAGGTTGACCAGCAACACAGTGTCAATAAAAACTATTGAACGAAGATCATCGTCTTGTGTTTGCTGGATGGACTACGGTAAAGTTCCAAGGGCCCCCGGGTACTGACACTGTACCTCTCGCACATCCCTTATCGTCAGGACCGAAGTACGGGGGTATACCGTAGTCCAGGTAACGACACACCATCCCAGGTACGGGATACCGACAGGTAAAATACCATCTACCTGCCAGGTAAAGGTGCTAGTCTTTTCATTGACGAGCTCACCAAAACGGCGGTTGTCTTGATCAGTCGTTAACTTAAAATCTTCCTTATCACCCAGGTCGAAATGTGACGCTAACGAACTTTCAATTTGAGAAAGAAAATCCTCTGTCCACTCTTTCCATGGCCGACGAACGTGTGAAATGTTTTCTTCTGAGAAGAAACGCATGCGCATTGGTCTGCCCATACAAATGTCAATTATCAGTAATATTGCGCATATTTGGGGCTACTTGAAATCATTCTCGCGCCCGAACTGGTTTTAAAATCGTGTGAAATCAGTGCAAGCCCGTGCATGCATCGTGCAATCGACTGCTTATAGTCTGTTTGCGGTGAAAACGTACCGATGAATATCTCTTTTTAAAAAGTAAATCAAATAAAGTGAAACTAAGGTTGCAAATCCCCGATAATTTTACCTTGCCTATTGAACATTTAAATCTCATAATTATATTCAGCATAGGATAAAAGTTGTTTAACAAACGATCATAGTTTCAAAGCGCTGTTATTGGTTTGTATTACAATGGGGTATGCGCATTAAATAAAACACCGAGAACATGTAGGTTTGGTCGTAGTTAACGCTCATTACGTACCGCACGGGCATTTGTTTCACTGTTCCAACTACTGCGCTTACCCCCTTAAAATTGTAATACAAACCAATAATATTGATTTGAAACTATGATCATTTGTTAAACAAATTTTATTCTAAGTTGAATATTATTCTGAGATGTTCATTTGGCAAGGTCAAATTATGAGATTTGCAATCTTAATTTCACTTTATTTGATTACTTTTTTGTTTAAAGTGAAATTGATCGGTACGTTTTCACTGCAAACAGACTATAGACGCGGGACATTTGAGGGTCTTAACCAGTGGGCTAAAAATAAATGAAACAGATGGAAAACAAATACATTTTTGTCATTCTTAGAATATAAAGTGTTATAGTAAACTCGTAACTCGACCAGAAGTGAGGTATAAGTCAGATGTACCCACACTTCCTCGGTGTGTCGCTCAATACCCATCGGCTAGCGCCTCGGAGGCCACATGACTCAAACAGTAGGGGATTGGCCACACGACTCAAACAGTAGGGTATTGAGCGACACACCGAGGAAAGTGTGGGTATATCTAATACATAACCTCGCCACATGTGATCAGTTTGTTTGTGTTTGTGTTTCTCTTAGCTAACAAGATTTACAAGATCGCTGCATATTGCCATTGCTTTTTCCCACGAAGGCCTCATGCTGAGAGGGACTTTATGCCAAACACATTTGTATGTGATTTTCATTTTCCTTCTTTCGGTGCAGGTTAATTATGTGTGGATGTCAAGGAGCAAGGGCAAATCTTAAAGAAGCAGAGAGGATATCCTTGAGGTTTAATGGCAACAGTTTGAATATTTAAAAGCAAACGTTCCACGCAAGCGAAACGTTATGATTAAACAATGAATAATGATGCTTTGTTGCTTTGGACATGCAATCCTCGTCTTTAAAACCAACAATAGCAACATCATGTTTAATTTTTGAAACCAAATTAACATGAAATTATGAATACAAGAATATATTTACCTGAACAATGAAATGAAAATTATTCAAAGCAGCGACATGTAATCAGTAAGAATTGTCTATGCGTGCTGTAAATATGTCCCTGCATGAGTTGGGTTAAACACTATACGCCACTTTGAACAAGCCTTGAAATAAGCCAAATAAATTGCGGGTCTTAGACGTTATTAAAGCAAAAAAAAAAAAAAAACATTATTAAAACGAACCGGATTCGAACTCGTGATCATACGTTCCTGGCTCAACTGAAAGACGCAACTCTGTACAGCGAATTGCGCCTTGATGGATTGGGTAATGTTAAATATCGTCTAGTTAGGAAATCAATTTTGACTCATTTTGAACATTCTACAAACAAATCCATGGTTCCGTCCACAGTTTCGTCATCAAGGACACGCGTGTCAGGCAGGAAAACACCACAGTACTTCCTGCCTCGCCCGCTCAGGAAGCCACCTCCGAATTCATCAAAGGGCACTTCGCTTTTACTTCCTTCCCAAAACCACGTCCCCTTACGTCCAATTTTGGCGCCGGTCCAGATCTTATTTGTTTCTGCAATATAGAAATACACGATGCCCTTATTTCATTTCATTTCATTGTAAGTGTCCTGGGGTAAACACATTTACCACTTTTTGTGAAACACATGACCTGTTTACCAAACATATTCAATGATTGAATGAAAAAAAATAACGTTTGGGATACACGAAACATGCAGTGACACCTCTTCAACCATTTACCATCACACGGACGTATACGAAGAGAAATCAAATCAGCTAGACATCAGACTTACACCAGCAGGTAAGTGGGATGTGCTGGGGTGGTGGTAATTATTTCACACACATTAACCATACATTCAGTGGTTTTTATATTTTTGTCATTTCTAAAAATGTCCATGGATCATTTGAAACAATCTGTATTTTGTCTAAACATTGAGTACAGATGTCAAACAAACTGAGAAATTACCGTTTCCAAATATGCTTGACACAAACTCAGCCTCTTCTTGGGAATAGATTTCAACCAGGAAAGCTCCCGTCTGTTTACACATAAACTGAATAAAAGGAGAAACATTTGTGAGACATATTATATCAGATAGACATCTATGAATGTGATCGGTGTTAGTTAAGATCTCTGTGGAGCGAAGCATGGAGAGATTGACCCGGTATACATCACCAGTATATCGCCAGAACATCACCAGTATATCATGTGAATCTCGCACACGAGCTGCATGGCGTTTTTTAAACGTCGGAATCCTATGCCACAAAAAGGATGAGTTTAAAATGTTCCTTACCAGTGCTTGAATAATTCCAAAAGACAACAGGGTCATAAAAAACACGATTTTTTAAAACCAGTGTTATATCGTCAAATATTGGTTTGCAACATTTTATGACAAAATCGCGTCTTGAAAGAGTGAATGCAGCTTTTACGCTGCATATTATAGTGGCTTCCACCATAGTTGCCGATGTTCGGGGTAATCTAGTGGTTAAAGCGTTCGCTCATCACAGCGAAGTCTCATATTCGATTTATGGGTATAATGCATGATCACCATATTGGAATATTGCTAAAAGCGGAAGCCAAATCTTACCTTCGCTATTTTCCACGATGAAGGTTCAGGCACATGAAGATAACACGAAGTTTGAAACCTCTTCCAGTGTTGGGGGCAATCATTTTGGACACCTACAAAACAGCACTGTATTAACACAGAAATCATAGCTTTCAATACCATGCGTATTTGTCAACAAAACAACACCTTCAATTGTAAATATAGGATGTACTTATGATGATGTGAATTATATGAGATAACAAGGCAATGTTAATGTAAGGAAATGACCAGTTTTAGTGAGTGAGTGAGTGAGTTTGATTTTACGCCGCTTTTAGCAATATTCCAGCAATATCACGGCGGGGGGACACCAGAAATGGGCTTCACACATTTTGCCCATGTGGGGAATCGAACCCGGGTCTTCGGCGTGACGAGCGAACGCTTTAACCACTAGGCTACCCCACCGCCCCTATAACCAGTTTTAAAACTAACGGAAACAAATCATCTTAGTACCATTTTGTGAGAATCAATATGTCACACTTCATCATGCACATCAAACGCACAGCACTAGTAGTAGTATTTGTGTTGATATTACCTATGGAATCGAGTTTCTTTTCGATTATTGACATTTCTTCGACAACGCTTAACATGGATGAATGGAGAGGACGCACAGCATACTTGACAACACCTGTCAGATCTTCGGACATGTTGGTGATCTTAATTGACAGTTCCTCCTTGTTGATGTCAACCTGTTCCAAGACTGACATCACGCTGGCCTGAACATTCCATAATGTGGATGTCCTCCTCTTGAAATCTTCGTAATCCCGTTTTATTTCTCCAATTGCTTTTACAAGTGCGTCATTTGTCTCTGTGGTAAGATAAAATTTTGCCCATGTGGGGAATCGTTATTGATTTAGAGCAAGAAGTACGTGATATAAATCAAAACAAAGCACACTCCCTAATAATTATTTATTTTCACGTAAAAACCACAAAGTTTTCGTAATTATGACGTCATGACACCACATTGTGACGACTCAGATATATACTGGTACGTGTTCACTTTGGGGCATTGTAAAGAGAACAGTGTGCGGGATGTTATATTTCATACCTATGTCACGAAAATTGGGTCCGAATTCACAAATATATATTACTCTCTCAGGCAACGTAATACATGCGCTTGAGTATATTGAGTAAAACGACGAAATCAGCTGCATCCCGATTTATGTATTAGATATGACTCGACCTTCGAATCATCGCCACGTTAAACATCCGAATTATCACAGTGATCCTGCAGTCAGAGAAATCACAAGATAGTATTTACACAGTTGTTGTTAGTCTCCTCTAACTGGTTGGTGTGTCTAACTGGTACCCACTCCCACTCCCATCCCCACACACACACCATTCAGGCTCCCAAACGTTCAACTGGACTGACTGAGTATGGTATTACGCCGTTTTTAGCAATAATCCAGCAATATCGCGGCGGGGGACACCAGAAATAGACTTCACAAATTGTACCCATGTGGGGAATCGAACCCGGGCCTTCGGCGTGACGAGCGAACGCTTTAACCACTAGGCTACCCCACCCCCGTTCAACTGGAACTTGCAGAAGAAGACATAAACCATTCAGAGGACCGTGAGGTTTGTGTAAGATGTCCCAAAAATACAACAAAACAAACAAAAACAACAAAAAAAAAAAAACCCACAATGTTATAAATGTATGTCAAACACATTAAGCGCTTAGCTACGTCGTAATTTGTTACTGGGAACTTATTCTGGTGTGCTTGTCACGACACAGAGTATAAGCTTTCATGTCTGTGTATGAACAGTATTAGGTTTCGTTGACATGACATTCAAGCTGGTGAAGCATATTGTGTTACCATTTCTGACATGCAACACTATCCGTCTACGTGTTCTCTCTCTCTGAAATGGGGGCAGTGGGGTAGCCAAGTGGTTAAAGCCTTCACTCGTCACGCCGAAGACCCGAGTTCAATTCTCCACACCGGCTACAATGTGTGAAACCCATTTCTGGTGTCCCCTGCCGTGATATTGTTGGAATATTGATAAAAGCGGCGTAAAACCCAACTCAATCACTTACTCTCTCTCTGAAATGCGTTAAGACAGGTGTTGATGTGATTATGTATTATTTCCTGTGAATGTAGAATGAATAGTTTGTCTTTAGGACGTGTCAATATGAAGCACGTGTTCATGATTTAGTTTGTCCTACTTATTATTCCACACGGTCTGGTGGCACTACAGTTATGACCCTTATCGAGTAATGTATGACACGATAGCTATATGTGGATCGTCACTCTCCAGGTCCGAGTTCAATTTCCCAACGTGTGATCGAAGTGTATAAAGCCTGTGGCTGGCGTTCCCTGATATGATGCTGCTGAAATATTACGGGATGCGCCGTAAAGCCAAAGTTTTAACTCACTTACTCACAAATTAATTTTAGTTACGCCATCACATATGTAAATCATCAACATCACATATGTGACTCATCAACATCACATATGTGAATCACCAACATCATATATGTGAATCTTGAACGTCAGATGTGACTTATCAACATCGCATTTGTGAATCATCAACATTGCATGAAAGGATCATCAGCATCACATATGCGTATTATCAGCATCACATATGTGAATTATCAACATCACATATGTGAATTATCAACATTACACTTTGGAATCATCTACATTGAATATGTGAATTAGCAACATCACATCTAAATTTACTGTGACCCTGCAAAGTACTTCGTCATTTATTGTCAGAGATGATTGTTATAGAAACATGTTAATCAATCGTCTATCTTTTCTAGTTTGTATTCATCCTTAACTGCTATGAAGAATGAATTTACTGGCTTTCTCAGATATTTATACGATCGAAAGTTTCGTGAATACTGTAGCTGCGCATGCGTGATTGTTAAGTTAACACTAACCACTTACTCACTTAATTAGTTTATATTTGTGAAACGATAAACACGAATCATGTCATGCATTTTACAATTTTTATCTGCTGGTAATGTTTGAATGTAAAAGAGCATTCCTGTATGTTTTTTATTCAAGTTCACATTTTAGCGGCATCGACTTGTTGTTTATACAGTTAGATGACTGATCATTGAGAAAACGACATAATTTTACTTTTTCTATTTTTCAGCTCTCAGTAAATGCAAATTATCATGGTATACTTTCTATGTTTATTTCTTACTCATCCATATTTGCTTGACTTGAGCTAAGACTAGTCTTGCTATTGCAGAAACGGCATTTACTGGTATATATTATACTCCAGTAATAATTATCATGTACGTAACGTTTTCGAGTTGCTGTTACTGCCTTTGCTTATCAGATGAGTGAATGGATATCATATTATGCGCCCTTTAGGCCCAATTCACACTAGAGCACGATGGTACTACGATGGCAACACGAATGGATCGTACTGGAATCGTGCTCAGAGTGTTACAATGTACACGATCAACACGATTCCTGCGCAACTAGTGCACAAAGCTTGTACAATCCTTGTACGAAATGAACACTAAACAAACACAACATGAACACGATCAGAACACAAACAAGATACGATGCTTTCACGATGTCAACACGAAAGGTGTACGAATTATGCACGATGTTACACAAAATTGTGACCAATCAGGACTCTTCCCTCCAAAACGACTCCACTTCACGTCCGTGCTATGGGTGTATAATGCAATGGAAATGAAGGAAAGGGCATCAGTGTTCATCAAGTTTCTAAGATGACAACTAGGAAAAGAAGATTGCAGCCTGAGCTGGAACTAACTGATTGTGGATTTGGAGATGATGGAGGTGGAGGTGAAGATGAGGTAGAGGAGGAGGATGTTGGAGGAAGGGCCACAAAAGAATAGACGAAAAAAAAGGAGTAAGGACAGTGTGGACACGAGACTGGTTGTTACAGAGACCTCTGTATGGGCAGTATGAGATTCTGCTAGCGGATCTGAACAATAAAGACCGGGTCAGCTGTAAGAACTTCCTGAGGTTGGACAAGCTCTCAACCAAGCGTTGGTCATTCGAGTCTGCCCTTATATCAAAAAGAAAGATACTCCTTTCAGGAAAACACTCGACCCAGGCTTGAAGAATGCTGCTACTCTTCGCCACCTCGCTACGGGGAACAGCTACTTGGACCTGCAATACTTCTTCAGAGTCGCCAAGAACACCATTCGTGCCACAAGTCTCAGAGGCCATCATAAACGTATACTCATCCGAAGTCATGGCTCCATGCATTACTCCTGAACAGAGGAAAGTAATTGCTGACGGCTTCCTAGAAAATGGAACATGCCCCACGCCTGCGGAGCTGTGGATGGGAAACACGTGCGCATCAGGTGCCCGAGGAAGTCTGGGTCGCTGTTCTACAACTACAAGGGCTATTTCTCGGATGGCCAGCTCTTCTGACCTCAGAAACCTGCTGGAGGACGGTGGGAGTCCCTGCATCTGAAAACCTCCCGGTAGCGAGGAAGAAGTACCGTACCTAATCATCGTTTGCGACGCCTACCCCTGCGAACTAGGCTGATGAAACCATACTCCAGACGTCAGATTAGCAGACAAGAACGTGTCTTCAACTATTGACTGTCACGGACACGAAGAATCGTCGAGAAAGCTTTCGGCATTCTGTCCTGTAAATTTTGTTGTCTTCTCAGAATGCTGTGCCAAGTCAATACGTCAGCCATTGACTCCAACATTCTGTACTGTGTGATGCTCCATAACCTCAGCAGCCTCCGCTACCCTGGGCAACCTCAAGGAGCAGATCATCAAGACAGGCAGCACAACGTCGTCCCCGGTGACTCGAGACAGTGCAGGCAGCTAGATAACATCCGTCTTGGCATCGATTCTGACGTCAACACCGAGCGCAGAGGTAGTTTGGCAGAGGATCAGGGTGTCCCTCAAGGCAGTATTTTGTCTGTCACTTTATTTAGTATCAAGATCAACAGTTTTCCAAGGTTTTAAACGATTCACTTGATGGATAACTTTTTGTGGATAATTTTAATATTTCTTGTCGTGGTAAAAAATGCATACTATTGAACGGCAACTGCAGTTGTGGTTAAATAAGATAAAGAAATGGTGTCTTGAAAACAAAACTAATTGTCTACACTTCTGTAGAAAATATAAGCCGCATAAAGACCCAGAACTATCTTTGAATGGCACTCCGATCAAAGTTGTCAAGGAGGCCAAGTTCTTGGTCCTCATTTTCGACTCCGATTTAACTTTTTTGCCGCATATTAAATCCCTTAAAGGTCACATAAACCCTAGGGGGTAAAAATACATAAATCACTAACTGGCATCGTTATAAATGCAACCCCGTCATTAAAACTACTCATTTCGACCTTTAATTGACTTAAATCGACCTTTTTGACAACAGTGCACAATTTTCACCCGCGAACGAAATTTCAACCAATCAGAGCGGCGCGACTCTGTGACGTCATATGAGGAATAGCTTTGAGGGCCGATGCAGAATTCATCTACATTTTAGGGGGTAAATTATCTTGTTTACAGGCTTGTATAAACCTGAAATCGTGACAATTGTTGTGGAAAATGAAAGCTATATGTTCTCACAATTAACTGGCATTTAATTTTGTCTCCTGCTTTGCCTAGTTTCCGAGTTACAACTTGTTTTCATAGACGCTTCTGTCACAATTGATTGGTGTCGTTAGGCCCTATTTGTATAATGACTGATCCAAATTGATCCCATTTCTGTGTTTTTACCTCGATATTTAATCATGTCATGTAAAATCTGTTTGTATTCTCAAAACAGTGTCGGCCCATAAGTTTTCACATGCAATACAGCAATTAATACTCCCTTGTTGTAACCCGTGTTAGGTGGTATAAACCTACGCAT